CCCCAAAACCCCAAAACCCCAAAACCCCGAGTACCTGATAAAATATTGACACCTTGGTATAATATTAAAAATGGCATTAAAGCTAGACATACTTCTTCATTGCAAAGAATTCAATAACCTCAATCTGTTCCACCAAGGGTATTACTACATCCGGTATAGGATGTTTACTGAAACTGAGTCTACCAGATATTTTGCCCAACCTGGAAAAATCCTGAGCCAATTCAAATCGGGTGAAACATCTGATATGAAGGGAACAATTATTGAGAACGAATACAAAACTAAAGAGTTTAAAATTCTCTACATTGGAGAGAAGATCTCTTTGAATGAAACAGTGACTTTTAAACATCACGTAAATCTTTCATGGGATGTATCTATTGAAGACCTTTGCATCCCTCTTTTGTTTGAGGCAAGTCTTCACTTTGTGCTATTTCAAGATGTCCAAGATCCTCTAAATGGCCCAACCGATGAAGAATATAACATTGTAAACTCTAAAGTGTACAGAGTAGGCAATGTTATGAAAGGAGCATTTAAATATTGCCCTATCCAGTTCACTGGCGAATATACTTCTCTCGTTGAAAGCTCAATCCATGTCGTTGTGAGTAATGTAGAGACCAACCCAAGTAGATTGATTAGTATATTCGAAGATTTGAAAGATAATTCAGAACCTCAAGATTCAAAAGATTCTGAAGCAGGAGATCCCTGGTTCATGATGAACTTTGATGAGGGAAATCTCTATGTATCTGATGCTGAAGAATTGTTAGAAGAAAGTAAGTGATTTCTCTTCATAACAATTAATTTTTCATAGAGTTTTCAAAATAATGTTTTAAAAAGAAAACTTATTGAAAGAATGTTTCTCTCTGACGAAAGTAGAGAATATAACTCAATTGATTCTGGTAAGATTTTAATGCGAACATTCTAGAGGAAGAGAGAGAAGCCAATAAGTTTCTATGGGATATCTTAGCTTCACAGTTCAACATCCTAAGAAAGATCTATAGAGAGTTTTACAATCAGCTGGATAAAGATACGAAACTTTCGGAATTAAAACTCAAAATGAAAAAGAAATCGTTGAGAGGAAAGTAAATTAAATATTTTAATAAATAGAGATTCTGATGAAGAAGGTCAAGAAAACTATATCAGCGGTATCCAAAGATATTTTATAGTCTAGAAGATGATCAAGAAGGGAAAGAGAAAGAAAGAGAAGAGAGCAAAATGTTTATTAAAGAAATGCCATCTCCAACACTTCTTCAAAGATCTACAAGTGTTGAATATGAAGTAAATAATAATTTTTACAATATAGCTCAACTCCTGAGAGCCAGAAAGCTGTGATTTTGGAGCTAGTATAAATGAGAACCCTTCCCAAACTAAAAATGTGAAACAAATGGGGTTTGGAGAAATGGTTGAGAGCTTTAATAAAGAAATCCCTATCCTTCATCTAGAGACAGGAGCAAGCAAAAGGCCTGAAGATGATTGTGAATTAGTAATTGAAATGCTATTAAAATCCAAAGATGATCTTAAATAAGGATTTAAACACCCTCTGGACTCAATACAAAAACTTCATTAGGCATAATAGTAAAGTTCAGGATGAAATTTACAAAATTATGAAGAAAAAGTGGAATGTTTCGTACAAATAAGCTTGTTAATAAGAGAGTTTCTGTAAACAGAAATGCCTATCTTGATAGTGAGCTTGAAGATGATTTCCTTGAAGCAGAAAATGAAAAAGCAGATGAAATCAGGCAAAAATATTATGATCATGAAAAGAAAGAAAATCCGAGAGGGCTTATTCATAGGAAACATCATTACGACAAGACATTCATGCCTGTTCTTTTTGAAGAGATTATAGCAAAAGGATCTCTTGAGAAAAATAGTGAGGACGATGAAACCCAAGAGGAGGAGGAAAAGACCCCCTCCAGAAGAAAAAGTAATGCTAAAAGTAAGTTTCAATATCACATTTATTACTCTAGAGGAGAAGAAAGGTAATAAGCACTATTTCTTTCTTATGCACGGGTACGCAAGCAGTTCAGATGACATGGAGTTCTTTAAAGCTTGCATCACTCAGAAATTGAACAATGCTGTAGTTCATTGATGTAGTAGAGGAGAAAATGAAGATGATCAAGGGATTCTTGGGTTAGGAGAAATCATTGCAGAAGAAATTAGGTATATACTCTTCTAAAATTTTAGAATTGAAATTGGAAAAGGAATTTTCTGTGGGAATTTAGGGAGAATAACTTTTATTGGACATTCACAAGGAGGATTGGTATTAAGAGCAGCGCTTCCGTACCTAGAGGCATTTAGATCATACTTTCATGGGTTTATCTCGTTAGCAACGCCACATACTGGTTATATTCATTCTCAAAGCAGATTGTTATCAGTTGGAATCTGGGCTCTATCAAAGGTTGGGTCTTCTCCTTCAATACCAGAAATAAGGCTTTCAGATAGCACAAATATTCAAGAATGAGCTTTGTATAAATTATCAAAATATGAAGGCTTGAATTGGTGTAAATATGTAATTCTTTGTGGATCATACCAAGATTGATATGCACCCTTAGAAAGCGCTTTAGCCCAAACTTCTTCCAGATCTCCAATATATCAAGAGATGTGAGAAAATATGTATCAATATTTAAATGAAACCAAAGTCTACCGTACAAGTGTTCATTTCAGATTAGGTACATTCTCAGCCTCATCTTACCCATAGGACTCTCAATAGACTCATTCATCGGAAGGAAAGCTCACATCCAGTTCCTTGAGAACTTCTGCTTAATGAAAACACTGATTGCAAGGTACGATCGAGTTTTCAAAGATTAGTCCCAAAACTCCGCCTGTTTTCATATTTATACAAAATCCATACTGATTTCAATGCTTTGGTGTAATCACGGGGTTTTGGGGTTTTGGGGTTTTGGGGTTTTGGGG